TTCACTTGACCAACTTCTGTCAGAACCTACTATGTGGCAGGCACTGGAATACCACTCATAAATTGGACACACATTTATTGAGCACCTACTATGTGCCAGGAGACTGGAGAATTGCTCATACATCCAATACATGTTTATGGAGTACCTACTGGGGCCAGGACCCTGATGCTTCCCTCATTTATTCAACATAGATTACTGAGCACCTACTATGCACTAGGATACTGTTATAAACACTGATAGTAGAGAATACAATGAATTAAAATCCCTGCCTTCATGCAGCTCTTATTGGAAGGTTGATCCAGTTTTCTCCATCCTACATTTGAGGACACTGAGGCCTAGAGATGTTCTCAAGGGCACATGGCTAGTGCGTGACAGGACCAGACCTGGCTCCAAGCCACAGAGATGTTATCTGGGCAAGGTGACATGGGAATTGCTGTGAAACCTCTATCATATCATGGGCTCTGGAGAAGGTTACAGAGAAGGGTGCTCCTGGCTGTGGGGTCAGCTAACCTAGAGTTGGAACCCTGCCTCCAACACTTGTCAGCTGTGTGTGCCTGTGGAGGTCACCCTGCTCCTCTGTGCCTGGAGGTCATAATCCCTCCCTTGTGAGGTTGCCATGAGGGCAGAAGCCATCAGTTTGTTCTCCCTTGTCTCCCTGGTATCCAGCACAGTGCCTGGCACACAGTGGTAGGTGCTTAAGCCTGGGCCGCTGTTGTGATAACTATTGACTCTTTCTAACCTACAAGGCTAAGGGGAAAAAAGCCTCAGAAGCAGACAGACCTGGGCTTAAATCCTGGCTCTGTCTCTTTTGACAGTCCCCACTATCTTTCTGGAGCCTCTCCTTAGAGAGTGACAGTGACCCCGCCTAGCCTGTCTCCCAGCCACTCTGAGAGCCTTCTGTATGTCATCCCTCTCCCCATCTGTCCAAGGCTCTGGGAGGCAGGCACCGCAACATCTTGATTACCTGCCATCCATCCATCATGCGATGTTGATGGAGGGAGCATTTCATTCGAGCCCACCATCCTGTGAGGGCAGGGGAGAAATAAACAAACGAACAAAAAAGTGGAGCCTTCCTCAGGCCCCTGGATGAATTCAAGCAGGATGTGTTGACAAGTCCAACGCTGGGGCAGGAATGGAGAGGATCATCCAACCTCAGGGAGCAGAACCTGGGATCCTTAGTCCAAAGCCCACAGAAGAGCAATCTGAATCCAGATTAGATTCTTCAGTCGCAACACAGAAAAGAGGCGATGCCAGGAACTTCCTTGGGGGTGATGCAGCCCAGAAGTAGTGAAAGAAGTTGCAGAGATACTGGTGGATTTCTGCATGGGAAGGTCAGAAGGAAGCACTCAGCTGGGGGCAGCGACTTTCTTTCCCCTCTTCTTCCCCATCTCTCCTCCTTCCCTCCTCTCTCTACCCCCCCACCTTCCCCTACCCCCCATCTCCACTATATGGCTTGAGTTCCTGTTTCAAGCTCACCAGCTGAGGCTCCAAAGGCACCAGACCCTTCTGAAAAGATGGAACTCAGCCCACACAGTTTCAAGATGTCAGGCCTGTGGACCATGATAGTTGGGCTGGGTGTGAGTGGTTGTTATGGGATATCTTGGCTTGAGGAGCTGTCGAAGGCCTTGCTCCTCAAGGACCTCAGGGAAGGTGGACAGATCTCGCCTGTGATGGCCAAGCTGGGGTCCCTCTTAGTGTAGGCCCAGCAAGCCTGTGCCCTGCACACCAGCACTCACAGCCTGCAACTTCCAGACCCGCACTTCTGGGCTGCCAACTGCTTCTCATGGCCTCCAGCCTGGCCCACCTTTCCATCAGAGCTGAAGAGGGCGGATCTTTGGTGCGGCCCATGCAGCGTTCCCCTCCTCCCTCTTGCCTTCACCTTCAGTCTCCTTCCTGCCCTTTCTCCATCAAGCCCTCAGACTGCTCTCCTTCCTCTTCTTCTCCACCCCCCATTCACACTCCAACTTCTTTCTCATCCTGCTTCCTCTTCTTTCACCCTCTCATCCTCTCATCTTCCTGCATCTCTCTGCCCCAGTTCCACATTTCTTCTTCCTCATCTACCTTGACTGAATTCTGCAGCATTTACTGAGCACCTACTATGTGCAGGGCTTGGTGCCAACTCAGGAGATGCACCAAATGGGGGTCAGCAAGAGCCTGCCAGTGTGGTCTATGAATCTCTCACCTCCCCTTTTATGCCCTTTTCCCCCATGTCATCCTCCTCCTCTTCTTTCTCCTCCTCGTCGTCTTCCTCATCCTCTTCCTCTTTCTGCAACCTCTCTTCCTTCCCTTTCCTCATGCCCTGTCCTGGCATCCGCAGCCAGCTTGGCCATGGCAGCTGGAGGCAAGCAGGCCTCAGAGTCCCAGTAGATTTGATGACAGGAGCCCTAGATGCCGCCATCCTCACGTGGCGGGCGATGGATGAGACGGAGCGTCCAAGACACATTCATCACACCCGCCTCCTTTCAGGGCCAGAACACGACAGAAATGACTTTTGTCAGCTCTGCAGCAGCCCACTGTCTCTGGCAGCTCCAACCTGTTTATTAAAAAAAAAAAAGGCAAAAGAAAGGAAGAATCACGGGTGTGTGAGTGGCATCTTGCCATATATTAGGGGAGTGATTCCAAAGCAATGATGTTGACACACACGCTTTCAGGTGGTCATAAAGGAGCTCTCCCCGTTCATGTACAGCTGAGATGGGGACTAAGGGATCAGGCAAGATACAGAAAAGGGGGCAGCTGCTCTGGGCAGATGTGTGGCTTTGGTTTGGGCACATGGGGGCCAACCTATCTTTTACAAATGATAGGATGCTAAGTCACCTGCCCATTCATTTTTCTGTGCATCTGTCTTTGAGCTTCAACTGAGGCTTTTATTGAGTCCAATGGAGGGGGGTTGAGCTCTGGAGATTCAGAGATTTGCAGCAGTGATAACGATTTCCCTTAATTGTTAATGATTGATAACCATCCATGAGTAGTTATTAATTGCTCGTTACTACCATTAGCTGTTATTTGAGTAATTAGGTGCCAGGAACAGTATCAGGGGTTTTGCTTTCATTCTTTTAACTGCCCTGTGAGGTCAATGCCGCAACCAGAGTTGGGGTTGGAGGGCAAGGGCAAGTAGAAGGAATATTTCCAGCAAAGGGAACAGCAAGTGCAAGCCAGGAAGGGGGCGGGGAGGGAAGTCCCACCATGCAGGAGAAGGGCTGAGGCTGGTAAGGACAGAGGGGCGGTACTCATCTGCACCACCACTTCCACACTGAGGTCTCCTCCCTGTCCTCAGACAGTGGCAATCACCTTGCCATGGTGACCTCACACAAGTCCAGGACCTGGGGTGCTCCTGCCAGTCCTTGAGGAGATAGACATGTGGGATGGGCGAAGCTTTGTCCTCAGGAGCTCAGGAAGGCAGTGTCTAGGTGTCTTAGTCCATTCAGGCTCCTAAAACAAAAATGCCATAGACTGGGTGGCTTGTAGAAAAGAAATTTATTTCTCGCAGTTCTGGAGACTGGGAAATGGAAGGTCAAGGTACCAGCAGATTTGGTATCTGATTCATAGACAGTCATCTTCTTGCTATGATTTCCCATGGTAAAAGGGGGTGAGGGAGCCCTCAGGGCTTCTTTTATAAGGGCACTAATCCCATTCATGAGGACTCTGCCCTCATGAGCTAATCATTTCTCAAAGGCTCCACCTCCTAATATCATCACATCAGGGATTAGCTTTCAACATATGAATTTTGGGAGGACACACATATTCAGTCTGTTGTATTCCCTACTCATTTCCCTGGAAAAGACCCCAATCCTCCATCCTGGCCATCCCCTCCCATGCCTTCTGGGACATCACTCCCTGGAGCCTTTGGTTTGGCTTCCTTCTCAGTTTCAAAAGCCCATTGGATCTTTGTGGCTGCTTATTTTTCTCTCAGACTGTCCTGTGGGATCAAGGTGGAGGTGGTGATATCTAACTGGGTAAGCATGAAGCCTTCCTCAAAGTCTTGAAGCAGAATCCCAATCACCTTTTGTGTCTAGAAGTCCAACTCCTGCAATTGCCCTGATTGTGACAGTTAGGGCACTCAGAGGTGAGGCCTCATGACTGAAAACCTGCATATCCATCACCCTCAGTGCCTTCTCAGACCAGAGCCCATGGCTCTGTCTGCCAACATTGACATTTGGCACCTGTTTTGCTTTTTTTTTTTTCCTTAAAATAAATTATAATGTTGCTGAAAGGGGATTGTTTGTCTTAGAAGGAGGACAAATAGATTTTGTTTGTTAAAGGAAAGGTTGATGGACTCCAGCCCTCTCTCCTTTCAATGACGCCATTTATTTTACGGTCTATAATCTTGCCCCACTGTGAGGCTCCTGCTTTTCAGAGGAGGCAAAGTGTTTTTGGCGCCGCTGCTGCAAACTCCCTCTGCAAAAAGCCTCGTCTGGTATAGTCCCAGAATAGAAACCGTCTGTCCTCTTATGTGTAGTCTTGGTTTCAAGTTGATTTCATGCGAATCCCTTTGGGGCACCAATTTTACCCTCACCCCCACAATAGCCATCAGGGTTATCATGGAGACATATATTGGATCATTGACTCTGGGAAGCCCTGCTCGGTGGGACCATCTTCTGGGCTTGGCTCTAAATAAATAAATAACCCCCTGCATGTCCCCTTTCAGTCTTGAAGAAGTAAATTACTTATTTCACAGTGGGCTCTGGAATGATAGGTCCTATCATGTCAGATATGATGCCTCATAAATCTAATTCATTTGTCCTAGCTGCAGTTTTAATCTACTCAAATGTACTTAGCTGGGTTTAATTATAGACAGAAATTGCATTTTAAAAAGCAAGAAGAAATCATTTACATGGCTTGAATTTGCACATTAAATCATATGGTTCATTTGAGAGTACAGTAGGGATGGCGTTTCCAAAGAAAAATAATATTAGTGCCTGTGCTTAGTGGCTCTTACACCGATTGCACAAATTATATGAATTACACAATTTCTACTGACTGTATTTTTCTTCCTGGTACAGGGTGACAGAAGAGGCTGGGGATGCCGAGAGGGTCCCATCAGCATCAGCACTGAGCAGAGCCCAGGATGTCCATAGCAAGACCTCAGGAGACAAGTCTGTTTCTCTCCACTCTGCCCGCCAGTCAAAGTACTGTCATTTTGGGGATGGTGAAGGACTCAGAGTCCAGAGGATGCCCATAGAGAGATTAGAAGCCACGTCTCCTTCCCTGGCTTCTCGGAGTACAGATTCGTCCTCGCTGTCAAGGGAAAAACTGCCCAGTCCTTCGGCGGCCCTCTCAGAGTTTGTGGAAGGACTTCGGAGGAAGAGGGCCCAGAGAGGGCAGGGGTCCACGCTGGGCCTGGAGGACTGCCCCACCCTCCCCATTTACCAGACCACTGGGGCTTCCACGCTGAGAAGGGGCAGGGCCAGCAGTGATGAGGGAGACCTTTCGCTGAGGATCAGGGCAAATTCACCCCTGGAGATGGAAGGGGCCGCTGGGAGAGCCACTGGTCTCCTGCGGTCTGCCAGCCTGAGATGCATCTCTTTGGATGGTGTTGGGGGCACAACCCTGGTTTCTGAGAAGCACAAGACCAGGTTCAGTTCCTGTGAGTCCCTCTTAGAATCGACACCGAGCTTGGGAAGCAAGCCGAGGTCCCCACCCACGCCCAGGGACATCCTCTTGTCACCCACACTGCGTCCTCGGAGGCGGTGTCTGGAATCCTCAGTGGATGACACAGGCTGTCCAGACCTGGGTAAGGAGCCACTTGTCTTCCAGAACCGCCAGTTCACCCACCTGATAGAGGAACCTCTGGGCAGTGACCCATTCCGCTGGAAGCTCCCAAGCCTCAACTATGAACGCAAGACCATAGTGGACTTTGATGACTTCCTTCCAGCCATCCGGAAGCCTGAGACTCCTATGTCCTTGGCCGGAGCGGCCAAAGATGGGCAAGATGGTTCAAAGCATCCAAGTGTCCACTTCGAGATGGAAGAGTCTGACCGTTCCTTTCTCTCAGGGATCAAGACCATTTTGAAAAAGAGCCCAGAGTCCAGGGAGGACCCTGCTCACCTGTCTGACTCATCCTCATCCTCTAGCTCCATTGTGTCCTTCAAAAGTGCTGACAGCATCAAGAGTCAGCCAAGAATCCCACGACTTGCAGGTGATGGTGGTGAGCACACGTCCCCTGAGCACAGAGAGCCAGGGGCAGTGAGGAAAGACAATGGTGTTGAACACATCATGAAGAAATATCTCCAGAAGTAGGAACCTATTCAGGTAAAGCAATAGGCTAGGACCGTTTGTGGGGAATGAAAACAGGAGAGACCACCTGGGTGTGGCTGCCTTGCAGAAACCAAGTGCTACTACTTTTTAATGCCTTTAATGCTGTGACTGATTTCTCTGGAGACCAGAGGTTTTAGGGATTTTTTTTTTTTTTTTGAGTTGGAGTCTCACTCAGTTGCCCAGACTGGAGTACAGTGACCGCTCCTGGCCACCGCAGCCTCACCTGCTGGACTCCAGCGATCCTTCTGCCTCAGTCTTCCAAGTAGCCGGAATTACAGGCATGCGCTACCACACCCGGCTAATTTTTTTATTTTATTGTAGACATGAGGTCTCATCTGCCCAGGTGGGTCTCGAACCCGCGGGCTCAGGTAATCCACTCACCTCAGCCTCCCAAAGGT